GCTTGGCATTTTCAGGTGAAAAAACAGGATCTGCTATATCAGCTTTATAAGGCCAAGTATTTTCCTTCTTCGTCGTTTCTGGATGCTTCTTTGGGCTCCAATCCTTCTTGGGATTGGCGTAGTATTTGGTCTACTCAGGTTTTGTTATCTCAGGGAGTCTGCTCATTGATTGGGAATGAAACGTCTACGTATGTGTGGAAGGATCATTAGGTTCTTACGCTTCCGGATAAGCTTACGCTTCCTCAGAATCCACCTCCAATTTCTTTTGTGGTTGAGTTGATTGATTCTTCTACGTCTTCGTGAAAGGAGGATGTTTTGTCTCAGTTTTTCCCTTCCTGTACAGTACAGGAAATTCTCAAAATTCGTATTAGTAGGTGGGATAAGCCAGATGAAGTCATTTGGAATCCAGAGAGGTTGGGTACGTTTTCAGTACGATCTGCTTATAATATGGCCATTTCCATGTCTACTTTTTCACGAGTTGCTACTACTAATTATTCTTGGTCTTATATTTGGCGGTGTCGTACGTTTTCATTTCTGTTGCACAAGGCTATTCTCTCTTCGGAGTTTAAGAATGTTTTTAGTTTACTTTCTTTTTTGTATTTGGGGTATTTGGAAGGCCAGGAATCGGTTGGTCTTTGAGGGGTTGTTATGGCAACCTGAGGTTGTGGTTCGGAGGGCTGTTGCCAGTTTTTGGGAGTTTCATGATGCTAGGTCCCGTTGCTCTTCTTTGCAGACAGCATTGTCTATCCCTTTGGTGGATTCGTGGAGTCCTCCTCCATCTGGAATTGTTAAGTGCAATTTTGATGCTTCTTTTTGTAGGCAGTCCTTGCAGGGGGGTGGCGGCACCGTTTTCCGTGATTTTCGGGGTGATGTGCTTCACGCAATTATTTTTTGCCCTTTTCCTGCTTCTTCCTCTTTAGAGGCGGAATCGTTAGTGTGTCAGTGTGTTGTTCTTTGGGCTTTGGATTTGGGATTATCTTGCTTATGGTTTGAATCGGATGCCATAGTTGTGGTGAATGGGGTGTTGCGTAGGGAGACTTGTCCTTCGGAAATTGCTTCTATATGTTTTGATGTTAACCAGGACTTGCGTCGTTTTTCGTCTGCTATTTTGACTCATGTGCGTCGCCAGGGTAATCGGGTGGCTCATGCATTAGCTGTTCTTTCGCAGACTGGGCTTGGGTCGGATCAGCTTTTATTTTCTTTACCTCCTTCTGTTGTTCCTTTTGCTGTGGCAGATATTGGATCTTAGTTTTTTTGGTGGTTTGGGTTTCTTGTGTGTTTGTCTCTGCCAGGACAAAAAAATAAAAAATAAAAATAAAAAATAAAAAAATAAAAATTGGCCCCCACTTGCATTGATTATTTTCCACTAACTTCCATTGATTCTGGAGCAAACAAAAATTTGAATACTGAAAAGATTTAAGGCTCAGTTTGGTAGAGTGAAAATGGGAGGAAAGGGAAGGGAAAGTGATGAAGGGTGATTAAAAAATTGTGTTTGGGTAAAATGGGAGAAAGGAAAGGACAGGAAAGGAAATGAGAGGGAAGGCTTTGGAGAGTTAAGTATAGTTTTGTACAGTAATTTGCTTATCTTCCCAAAAATGGGAGGAAATGGAAGGAAAGGGAAGACAATGGCTGATGGAAAAGTTGTAATGCCAATTTTATCCTCAAGAATCAGTTGATATTAGGGCATGTATTCAGCGCGGGAACAAAGGCGCCAAAATTCACTGCTATAATTTCTGACACCAAATTTACCCACACAAAATCAAGGATTTAGTTTGCAAAACAAGAATTACAGACCTTGATGAAAAAAAATTAAAACAAAACCTATACATATAAGTTAGCAGTTGCAGAGAGAGAGGGAGAGGGAGGGGCAAGCTTATAGCGGGCCAGTGGCTGAAACTTGCGAACGGCGAACCCGAACTGGAACATCCGGCGATAGAAACAGCAAACCCGAATTGGAACAGCGAGCGATGGAAACTAAAAGATATGGGTTTTGATTTTTGGAACAATCTAAAACAATATGCCGATATGGGTTTTGAACTTTTGATTCTTGCAGACAGATAGATAAACTGAAATATATGTTTTGAACTTCTAATTCTCGTAGATTTTGTAGTGTGCAGTTGCAGAGAAAGAGAGAGAGAACGAGAATAGAGATGGAGGCGGGGAGGCTAAAATGATTTGCCTTAAAAATATTATATGCATATTACATACGTTTTGTTTTTTTTTTTTTTTTTGGCAAATATTACATACTTAAATTTATAAATTTTTCTTTTAAAATATAAAAGGGTATAATAGTAAATTTACTAAAATACTTTCATTTCCTTTCTCTTCCCAAACATAATCATTATCCTTTCCTTTCTTTTTCTTCATTAACCAACCAAACACGACAAGGGGTTAAAATTACCTTACACTTCCCTTCCCTTTCCCTCATAACTAATATTATCCTCCCCCATCAAACCCACCGTACCAAACATAGCCTAAGTGTTCCTCCACAATTAAATCAAAAAAAAAAAAAAATTAATTAATTAAATAGATATGAAATAACTAAACAATTCCTCTTTTTTTTTTCTTTTTTTTTTTAATATCTTTTTCATCATCACTATTGTCGGTAATGAAATAGCAGCGATAACTTGATATGTAGCGTTAATTTAGCGTGTGTGTGTGTGTGTGTGTGTGTGCGCGTGTGTATATATATATATATAAGGGTAATATGTATATAAGGGCATTATCGAAAGAGATAAGAGTATTTTCGAAATTTTATATTTTAATAGTGATTTTAAACTAAATAGACTTATATACACAATACAAATGATAGGGATATTATTTGCTCAAAATGTAAACATCAGGGTGTTTTCCCACTTTACCTAAAATTAAATAGGGAGCCAAATTTTTTTTACTATTTTATTGTATTGGGCTAGTGTTACAAGGGGAGACTTGTGTCTCACATCAGATTCAGATGTGAAGTAAAATGGGTATAAATAGGTAGGTATATAGTTCTACCCAATAGTTTAAACTTTTAGATAAATAAACAAGCATCCACCCGTTACAGAGTCAGACCCAGTCCTTAATTCGGTGTCACGCCAAGCGCCTGGCTGGAAAGGCCATCCAAGTAGTCAGGGTAGCCCGACAGTGACGAAAGCATTGCCAGTTCGGATGAGAAAGAATGTTAAAAGGAGAGACTTGAACTGATGTGACTGTAGAGAGTTGAATATGACTACCATACCCCTTACTCTAAAGTCAAGATGTGCGTCTCCTTGTCTGGCTCGTCTGTAAACCAAATTGATGAAGAAGAAACTATTTGTTACAAGTCTGGTAGAACAATCAACAAACCTAATTAAATTTGATGAGAATTGGCAGAGCAGAACAAATTGAGCATCGTCATTTTCCCCTTAAAAAGGGGACCTCCCAATTCTTATGAAATCTAACCGACGAAGATCAAACAAGTAACATGCCATTTGAATTTAACCAAAATTTAGCAGAGAGCTATTTATGTACTGTTCAGGAGTTGTTGCTCTCCACCCACAATTCATGCCAATTTTGACTCCCATTAAAGCCAACCACTTGTCATACTCATTACATGTATGTGTACCTGTAATGTAACATCCTCCATTTGATTTATGATTCTGTACAAGTTGTTCGATGTTGATTACACTCTGGTGATACCACCGCACAAGATTAAGTGATCAATATGGATATTTAACGTGTCCTGTGCAGTGAGTCATTACAACCATTGATATTTGTGTATGATGTGCACGCTCCTGTGTGAACACGATCACGAAGAGTTGTAATGTGCCAGATATACCGGACATAATATTAAATGTCTTCTCCTTTTGGAGGATGCAAAAAAAATTTGTAATAATCGTTCAACATAATTACACGAAGAATACAACAATAATGTAATATATTATGACGATTTATAACGTTACAACATCTTAAATTGTGAATTCAACACATTTATATAATTGTTATATTTTTTTATCAAATCATGTTCCTCTGAACAATCGGCCAATTGAACAATGAATCAAGGAATTTGAATCCTCTCCTATAACACAAGATGTTCTGTATCGCAACAACAACTTTATATCATTCACGGAACAACTATCTTATGAGATGTTACATTCTCCATGTGATATTACGTGAGCAAATGTTATGTGTTATGCAAGTAGTACTAGACATTTTCTGCCACAGGATAGTGAGTGATATTGACTCATCAAGTAAAATAGAAAACTTTAATGGCTATGACCTATACATGCATTAGAGATGGACCCACAGGTCCCACATTAAGTAGTTCAAATAGTTAGCCATTGCTCCCCTCATTGATCTAAGGATAAATTACATATATACATCTCTTTGAGGTCAGTGTTTATTATTTGACTCTTTTCTAAATTTGTTCTGAAAAGTGATTTTAATGTAAAAAGTCCATAACATCTCTATTTTATAATAATATAATATAATATAATTTATATTAAAAAATACCTTTTCATATAAGAGATGGACAAAATTATTGTTTTATAAAATTTAGACAGAAAATATTAAGCCAATATTGTTAAGCACAAACATCAAACTTAAAAGAAAGATAAAAGTAATAAATGTTGATCATCCGTGTATAGTTTGTCAAATCTTCTAAAAGGTCAATGTAATTTACCTTGATTTAGTTTCATTTGTTTGGATATAAAATATTTTTTAAAAAATATTTTTTCATTTTTTGGTGTTTAATTGTCATAAAATATTTACAAAGAAAATTAAATTAAAATTTAATTAAAATAATTTACTCATTAATTTTTAAAAATTTATTTTATACGTCCAGTCGGATGAATTTAATCTTAATTTAGATCTAGGATTTTGTAAAATATCAAAAAATAAAAATAAAATTAAATATTTTACCTATATATGTAACTTTTATTTGTAAGGGCATTGAATCAAAATCTTATTAGTTGGTCTTTACTTTCCTGGCAACTCTGTCAACAAAACAGAAAGGTTAGCAACAATATTTAATGTATGCCACCAAAAGCGAAAGGGACAAAATATAAGAGGCTAAGTATCTATGTAGATTGAAGAGGCGAAATAGATATATATAGAGAGAGAGAGAGAGATTGAAGAACCATTGATCTTACTGCATATGTATACATATACCCTGTTTGTTAGTGATTAATTAAAAACAATTTGGTTTTGAGTTTGTAGAATCACAATCACAAGCATGGAGAGTGAGATGAGAGTAGGAGAGAGCTTGGGTGAGCTGAGGCAAAGTTTCAGAAGTGGAAGAACAAGAAGCGCTTCTTGGAGGAAAGCCCAGCTTCAAGCTATCCTAAAGCTCATCACTGAAAATGAAGACAAGATTTTCAAAGCACTTCAAGAAGATCTTGGAAAGCATCCTGTCGAATCTTACCGTGATGAAGTAAGTTTTCTTTTTCTTTTTCTTTTCTTTTTCCTTCATGGAGATGAACATTTCTTGCTAAGAAATTTGAATTTTCTCGACAAATTCTGATGAGGAGATCCATGATTTTTGGTTCCAGAATTCTGTTGAATCTTTGGTACTTGAAGAAGCGTAAGATTGATAAATCTTGAGTCACCTGAAGATGCAAATTAAAAAAAAAAAAAAAAAAAAACTTCTTTTTTCGGCTTATTTATGTTTTTTTTTTTTTTTTAATAAAAAAAATGTTGTATTAATACAATAAAATATGGAGTTGAGTTGCATTTTTGTTGAGATTCCTTCAGAAATATATCTACCCATCTATATATATATTTCTAGATAAAATATTTTATTTTTTGAATGTTCCGCAAATGTTTAGGTCGTCGAGTCTATCAGGTGGGGATGTAAAATCACTTGTCGAAATTCGGTCTCCCAAACATAGCATGTATTCGTTCACCCATATATTTTTGAGAAAATGATAAGAGAAATGAACTAAACAACTGAATAAAAGATCAAACTTAACATAGCTAAGCCACGTTAGATTATTTTTTAAAAACATAACTCCTACCTCTTCCTTTCTCTCTCCTCTCTTCCTCTAATTCTCGATTTTTCTTTTGTATTCAATTTTATCTTTGATTTTGGTTTTGTCTCTCTTTTTTATTTCGCAAAATTAAAGATAAAATAAAAAAAAATAATAAAAAAAAAATTCTTCATGTTTTGCAAATACAGAAACCCAAAACCAAAACAGAACAAAAAAGTAAAAGAAAATAAAAGCTACAACTCTTGTTTCTGTCCTTCAAATTTTGTATCATAAAAATCAAACAGAAACTTTAAGAAGATTCATCGTTTCTCTTATCTGGATTAGTTTTATTTATTTATTCTGTAAGAGATTAATGTGGTTTGTAATGACAACTCTTGTGTGGATATTTACTTACCCAAAAAAAAAAAAAATCTTCGGCATATTTTTCATCTTGGATTGGAAAGATTTATTCTTGGAAGATTTATGAATAGAGAAAAGTAGGTGATCTTGAAAAAGGACCGAGGATAAAGAATTTTGAATTTGTCTCTAGAATACTTTGGATATGTGTATATCAAGAGAGGGGATGCATATCCTCCAATCCTAAATCCACGACGCCCTTGTTCCCAAATGCAATAACAGGGTAAATGTCTCTAATATAATTAGGATTTTGGACCAAGCAAACACAGTGCAATATATGTATATACATACTATATATATAGACACAAACACACAACCATATGTATATATATATATATATATATATTGTTGCATTTGGGATCACCGAATCGGGGTATTAGATTTGAAATTTGACACAGGTGTGTTCGGCTGCATGGAATTGGAACTTTGAAATTTGAGAAAAACAACTAAGAAAATTGAACCAAATTTTTTTCAAATTCCACCAATTCTAAGGCTCCAATTCAATGCAGCCGAACGTACCCTAAATTTTCTTCCGATTTCAAATCCAAGGCGCTAATTCAGTGCTCCCAAATGCAACATAAATGTAATTGACACTCTGTGAGTCTGTGACATAGAAAAGATTGGCAAGATTGGTATACTTGTCTGCACCTAATAAATAAGTAGGATGGTCCCTTCATTTTAATATAGTAATAAATGATAGAGAATCAACCCCTATATTTCATCATCTTACTGGTGTTTGGTTTATGTCTCTGTAGATTGGAGTTGTGTTTAAATCAGCCAACCACTCTCTGGCCTCTCTTGAGAAATGGATGGCCCCCAAAAAGGTGTGTTGTTTGTTTACTCTCTTTGCCTTTATTTAACCCCTCTTGCTTAATAGCATTGTCAATACATTATTATAATTGGACTTGTGGCCAAAATAAAAGTATAAAATTGGATGAAACTTGTGTTCAAGAGTGAAAAAAAAAAAAAAAAACCAATGCATGGATGGGAAAAACAACATGAATGTGTTTTGGTAAAATCATTTAAAATCAAGTTTGAATTCGACTTAGGTTTTGGATTCATTGCCTGTGTTTTCAATATTCATTCGTCATCCAATTTATTATCAAATTTTGAAGTTATATAGATTTGGATTTCAATTATTTGACAAGAAGAAGTATATTGTATATCGTATATCAAAGATTCGAAGGTTGTGCACATCCAGCTAGATATCATGCCTTGTGTTGAACTCACTTGTGTTCATTGAACGCAGTTTAAGAAGTTAAAATCTGTTTTGAGGCCATATTTCAGCTACTAATGATGCAATTTGGGCAGGGTCACATACCATTACTTTTCTTCCCAGCGAAAGGAGAAGTGTTGCCAGAACCGCTTGGCCTAGTACTCATATTTGTTTCTTGGAACTTCCCTATCTGTGAGTCTAGACTCTTAACTAATTATTGACAAATTGTTATGGTGATTTTTGAAACTTCTGATTGGGATACGGAATTGATGACTTGTTATGCTACCATATAGCACTATTCAATAATCCAATATCGAAACAATCACACCTGTATATGCCTGACTAGTAGGCTTTTCGCCCAATTAAGTTAGCATGAATCACGAGTACATAAATCAATATTGGTATCTGCACATTAAACCACCATTTTCTTATATGCAGCATTGGCGTTGGACCCATTGATAGGAGCAATATCTGCAGGAAACACAGCAGTCCTAAAACCTTCAGATCTATCCCCGGCATGCTCTTCATTCCTTGCTGATACAATCCCTCTTTACTTGGACAACAAAGCCATTAAAGTCATTAAAGGCGGGACAGATGTTGCTGAAAAACTACTGCAGCAGAAATGGGACAAGATATTCTTCACAGGTATCGCCCTCCAGCCTTACCTTTATATGCATTTCTAACTAAGTAAAGGTTCGCAACCCCCCATTCTTTGTTGGCTACAAGGAACTACAGTTGAAATGAATGAATAAGAATCATCGGATGAGCTTTGCTTCTCAACAGTATGGTTGATTAGAATTATAAATTCGCCTTGATCAATGTTATTTTAGGGAGTCCACGAGTGGGACGAATTGTCATGTCTGCAGCTGCAAAGCATCTAACACCTGTCACTCTGGAGCTGGGCGGAAAATGTCCTGTAATACTCGACTCCCTCACAAACCTCTCAGATATAAAGGTTAAAACACTTACTTCAGCATACTGTTTCAGTGATCACGGAGATAAATTGATGTTTTGAACTGGTTAAATCTTGCTTTGCTAATGTCTTTGTTGTGTTGATTTCAAGGTGGCTGTCAAAAGGATAGTTGGGGGAAAATGGGGACCCTGCAGTGGCCAAGCATGTATAGGAATAGATTATGTGCTTGTGGAACACAGATTTGCTTCTCTTCTGGTACTAATGTTGTCATTCAGTCTAGTACAATTTATGTGTACCGCGTAGTTTTAAGATTTTAAAAGTTTTGTTTATTTTCAGATTGAATCATTGAAGAGGACTATCAAGAAATTTCATGGTGATAACCCGAGAAGCTTGAGGTTCCTCTCCAGAATTGTCAACAAGCACCACTTTGATAGACTTCGCAATCTTCTTGAAGATCCTAAAGTCGAAGCTTCCATTGTTCACGGTGGTTCACTAGACAAAAAGAATTTGTAACCACTCTATAACCTTTCTCCAGTTCCAATTTCAATATGTTTATGAGGATAGACCTCTCACCTCGTGTACTCGTGTTCATGGTAAGATGCTTCCTGATATATGTCTGCTAAACTTTTACAGGATCATCGAACCAACAATCTTGCTAGATCCTCCACTTGATGCTGAGATCATGACCGAAGAAATATTTGGCCCATTCCTTCCAATTATCACTGTAAAAATTAAATAATGTACCCTTTATTGTTGTAATGAGATTTTTTTCCAAGACCATTATCACATTAGAATGTGGTTACTCTTTATGCAGTTGGACAACATTCAGGAAAGCATTGAATTCATAAACTCGAGGCCTAAACCTCTTGCCATCTATGCATTCACCAAGAATGAAGCATTCAAGAAACAGATTTTGACAGAAACATCATCAGGAAGTGTGGTTTTCAACGATGTCATGGTTCAGGTACTGCCCACTTCATTTCTCTTACATTCAGAATTCTTCGGAAAGTTTTCAGAGTACTAAACCAAATGGACCCTTGATCACTTTGCTTGTTAACATTGCAGTTTCTATGTGATGAGCTGCCATTTGGAGGCGTCGGCCAGAGTGGTTTAGGGAGGTACCATGGGAAGTACTCTTTCGATACCTTCAGCCATGAAAAGGCAGTTTTGCATAGAAGTTTCTTCCTCGAACTGGAGCCGAGGTACCCTCCATGGAATGATTTCAAGTTACAATTCATCAGATTGGCTTACAGATTCAACTACGTTGGATTACTGCTTCTCGTGTTGGGCTTGAAGAGAACATTCACATGAAGCAAATGACCTTGAACTTTGACAAACAAACATGTTTTGATATTATAAAGTATGTGCCTTAAGACAGATAAAAGGGCAGATCCATTATATATATGCTTGTTAGAATGATGCACCCTTGATATTCAGAAATATTTATGGCACTGGTCTGAACATTAAATATTAGTTTGAAATTCACAAAAACATCTGAAACTGAGGTATTGAACTGCATTTGCTTATCTACAATTGAAATGTTTTACAAATCAATAGAGATGCTTTTTGAGAGAAAGAACCCAAATATTGTCTTTCACTAGCAAATAAAAACCATGTTAGAGCATCCTGGGGGAGCCAAATTAGCTCTCCACTTTTGTAAATATAGAGAATGAGGTCAGTTTTTGATGACTTAGCTAACCACTAAAGTGGCCAGCTATTATAAGGAGGGTCTTGTCCCATATTGAATCAAAATGAAAAAGTGATTGAGTATGTATAGATTAGGTGTTAGCATTACCTAATAATTTAACCGTTTGGATCAAATTGCGAAGCATTATGTTTATTAATTCTATTAGTATTAGTTATCACTCAAGTCGAACATGGCTCTTGTGAGCTCAATTTTGGAATATGAAGAGGGAGGGTAGTAGCATGAGGTCATATAATAAGCTCATCGCTGTTATCGCCATAGTTGGTATATTGTTGTTGATCAATGGACCAAATGAAGCCCTAGCCTCAAGTTCAGTCTCGGCACATACGTACAGAATGTCATCTACTCCAACAAGATTCCCATTTTCTCCAAATCTCACTGTCCATAAGCCTCTATCTCTCGATTCCAATTATCAATTTCCATAGATTTTATTGGGAAGCACCAAATTTCTTAGTCATGGCAAGTTAACATTGTTCCTATCTCCAATTATACCATTTTATATAATGCAATATTGATTGTTAAAATTAGGGTTCCGTTACTTCCTTATGTCAGCTGTACAACCTATACAGTCTCTCTCTCTCTATATCTGGTTTAAATTGTTCTTTATGTTACACATTTCACTTATTTTGAAGCAATTATATAATAAAATTGAAGCATTGAATATATTTTTTAGGTGCATGTCCAGCCAAACGGGTTGGACACATATCCCATACCCATGTCTCATGAAACCTATACACATGGGAAAACAGCCACTAAGGTGAGGACATGTGACTATTGTATTCTCACTCTCAATGATGGGAGATGTAACGACCCTAAACTGATACCTTTTAAAAAAAAAAATTCGGTAAGACCTCCCCTAAAAAATGGGCCTACCACAACCTATTTAAATGCATTCTTAACCTGTTCCAGCACAATAAACATATAATACATTCCAACATCCCTTTCATCCATTCACCATGCCTTAACTTAGTTCATTCCATAGTGGTACAACCACATACTATACCATCCGAATATCAGAATTACAGTTCCAAAATACAAGATTAATATCAAATGTCCATATTTTACAACATTTAGACAGCTCATACAAAAGTTACAGCCCATAGGTATAATTATAATAACAAGAGTCCACAAACCTCTATACCAAATATAACCAACTAAAATTTTACAAAAATATGGGACTTAATACAAAAATAACAAAAAGAAGTCTTCTAATCCAAATTAGGCCAGTGGTGGAAAGTCATCCGCCACTTCTTTCCCGTTTCCTGAAAAAAATTATTAAATAATAGGGTGAGCATAAAGCTCAGTAGGTAGCACTTAAGACACGCATCTTATGTCCTTGTGAATCCATACAAAAAATAGACCAATAGGAATAGGGATCATACAATGTCGGGATAATATAACATTTCAACCAAACTCAAGTGCAAACAATACAATACCATGGAATGCAAATGCATGCCGATGTCGCTTCCCATTTTCACATTTCAAACCATCACTTTCAAACTGTTAATACAACCCACCCTTTGGTGACCCCATAGTGACACGAGAGGAGGATTGGTTACTGTCCCTAGACCTTTGGTAACCACGCAGCGTCATCGAGGGCCAGATAACTCAATCACGTCAGGGCAACTCCCTAATCCCCTCTAGGTTATATTAACACTCCGACTACTCCCGCGGCGACCGGGTTTTCATAAAACCATTTCGTAAAAACTCTTTTCCCTAAATTTCACTTTTTGTTCCAAAACAATTTCTCCCATCTCACGCCCAATGTAAGTGCATGAGTGCATCAGTACCATGAATATGCTCATCATTCCACAACCAACTCAATTTAGTAAACAAGGCATAATTTCACAAGAATTTCTCAAGGAATTTCAACATACTCTTATACAACAATACATCTAGCCTAACGAACATATATAAATCATCACATAGGCAAGTTTTCCACATAAAACATTTAATACAAGCTCTCACATAACCACATACACATGTTCTAACTACTTCTAAACTACAACTAGCACAAATAAGCATATTCTGCAACAATTTAAAAGATGTAATTCACATAGAAGTACGAAAATTGTGGATTAAGAGTCCCTACCTCAAGATTATACAAAACCCTTGAAATGGGTCTCTAATTTCGAACTCCCTAGGAAGCACCAAATCTGAAATTGCTTACACTAGCGCGTAGAGCTCGTCGTGGGCTTTGTTTTGCCTCAAACGGCTCTCAAATCTATCAATGATTGAGCGAGTAATCACAATTCAAAGTCGGCTTCCCAAGTGAAAAGAAAAAGAAGAGAGAAAATGAAAAGCAGTTTCTAGACCACTTAAGGGTGTGAGTGGTGGGTCCCACCAATTTTCTTCTTTTTTTTTTTTTTTTTTTTTTTTTTTAAATTACACCACACACATACAAATATATACACATATGCACACACACATATATATAGACACAACATTGCAGGAGATGTGTCCTGTTATCCTCTTTTCACATTCTCTCCTCAAGTAGTAGTAGATACCTGTTAGTTAGAAGAGTCATCAATGACTTCAATATGCATATTTGGCACAATAATCGTGGCTATACTCATTCTCAGCACTTCTCTCTTATAATTACAGCCACCAATCTTTCTGCTTTTCATAAAATAAATTACATATTTTGGACAAACATGCCAAAGGAAATGCCACCCAATAATTTTATAGTGGGGTATAACTACTAAACTACACTTACACAAATTAAATATCTTAAAAAATCTACAAGCATATAAAGAATCGAGAAATCACTCGCATAACCAAACATAAAATTTCTATAGCATCTGAAGCATATTGACATGTGAAGTAATACTAGCATTAAAGGGTGCAGCTCTGAACTCATGCTGGACCCAACATATTTACCAAATTTAGTTTATGGCACAAAATCAGCCGTTAACTTTACTTAACAAGTCTCTCTTTGATCATGTTCTCTTTTCACTGTACCATCGAACAGCATGCATTTTATGCTTTAATTCATCTTCCATTTTACTTCAAGTTTAAAAACCTCGTCAGCAATGTAACAAGATATCATTGATAAATCAGGGATTTTTGGTGTCTGACATGGTCTTGAAAAGGCGAAAAGACGTGGTCTTAAACTGGCTGGCCCGATTAATCTGATATTTATATAACTTAATATGATAAATGGGAAAGGCTAGAATACTAGATTTTTTTTTTTTTTTTTTTTTTTTCACACATACAGATGATATATCTAACTGGAAAGATTATCTTTGAGGATCATAAAATTGGCAGCTATTGTCCAGAGTAAAAAAGGCATTCTTCGTGTTTGGACTCAACTTGGAGACAGTTGCTCATGAAGGCGTGCTTTGATATTTTGTTGATGTTTAAATCTCCTTTTGTATCTGAACATCATTCTTGTTCTTAAAATAAGCTATTTCACCATAAAAGTTATCGGAAGCTATGATGAACTTTTGTTTCTTGTGAAACTTTGTGCAATTTGTATTACTGAAGCCGTGTTACATCATTTCAACTTTTGCATTTTTATTTTTATTTTACTAGCTTTATTCAAGTTGAGCATGCAATTGGACATCACGCTCTCAGTGTCCTTAAATTACCAAAGATTTAATCAGGACCAAAGCTGCATGTAATGAATGAATGAAAGGCTAAATTTTGGGCTACAAGCCCAGAACTGTTCTCTCACTCCCTTGCATGCACGCGCGCCCAAAGTACTATGTAATATTTAAAAAAAATTTGTTTCCCTTATATAAGGTATTCCCTGCGTGCGAAGCACATATTCAGTGATCTACATGAGTGACCTTGTTGTGGAGCTTGATATTCGAGGTACTTATTAGCTAAGCGTTTCATTATCTACAGTTTAGTGAGCATTTACAAGTGATTTATTTATTTATTTATTTTTGGATGTGTTCGAAATGGTTTCATTTTCCTACAGTCTTAGTATAATGTAATGTGGTTTGATGTGGTTGTCTTCATGAATATATCAGGACGGATATCAAATTCACAATGTACGAGATCTGGCGGGCTGACGCACTGTCCCACAAGTATTTGTGAATGGGAAACATATCAGTGGCAGTGATGGTTAGCCCTCTGCTCTCGTACATTTTTATGTCTCTCTTTCTCCTCAGGATTTGCTGTGAAACTTGCCATTCACATTGACTCTTTTTATGTTCTTTTTATTGTATTTTGATTATTATTCTATAATCAGATCTCAAAACTGCTGTCCGGAATGTTCACTTGCATAACCTTCTTAGGAGAAGATAATTAAATACTGGAAAGTTGAGAAACCTCAGCATCTTGGTTGGAGCTGCAAATGGTGATAACGAAGTTGGAGGTTGATGGTAATTTGTTGGGATTGTAACTTTGAACCAAACTTTAGAGCAAGATACTGATCTTGGCAGCTCATTGAAAACACCTAATTCATTTTGAGGTAGTGTTGACTTTGATCCACTTAATGGAAACCAGAGTTTCTGACTTAGTGTTGGCAATATGTATCATATGATAATTTAAATTTGGAGAAGACATTGCTACATCTTGAAATTCTTGCATACATCTTTCATATCTCTGTTTCTCCTTTTGTTTGTGTGTGTGTTCGTGTAAGATGGAGTAGGGTTGCTGGATTTGGATTAGTTGCTGCTATCATAAAACGAATTTCACACCTCTCCTGTACACTTCGGGTCCTGTATATTTTGCAACATATTTTCATCAAGGATGCAACATTAATGCTTCATATTACATCAACTTAGAACACTGTAATACGAATACCAGTTTTAATTGAAAACGCAACACATTTACATCATTGTTACATTTTCACTTGAATCATGCTAGTTCAGCCAAAAAATCAGCCAAATAGCAAACTGAATGGTTCAGTAGCCAATAGATGCATATGTGAGGGACCCACATGGGTCCCACACTAGTGCATCAAATGGCTATAAGCCCTCGGCCTTGTATTTCGATTGCTTGCTTCACTGAAACCATCGTTTTATTTCTCGATTTAATGTTGTTGGGTGAGAGTCAATTTAAATGCGTTGGAGGTATTGTGGCTTGTTCCACTTTACCATCAGTTTGTTTCTCGATTTAATGTTATAGGGTAAGTGTAAAGTTAAATGCATTGGAAGTATTGTACGAGTAGCTTGTTCCACTTCACCTTACTTGTAAAGGTATTGAACCAAAAGCTTTTAGTTGGCCTCACCTTTCATGGTATGTGTCAACAAAACAGGAAAGTTGGCAATAATCTTTTATGTATGCCCAAAAGCAGAGAGAGGACAAAGAGCAACTCAAAAGGAATATTTATACATATAGATTGAAGAACAATTGATCTTACATGTGTGTTGTGTATACCCTGTTTTCTAGTGAGTAATTTAAAAGCAATTGGTTTTGAGTTTGTAGAATCATAATCACAAGCATGGAATTGGAGGGTGAGGTGGAACTAGAAGAGAGTTTAGGTGAGCTGAGACAAAGTTTCAGGAGTGGAAGAACACGAAGCGCTTCATGGAGGAAAGCCCAGCTTGAAGCTATCCTAAAGCTCATCACTGATAATGAAGACAAGATTTTCAAAGCACTTCAACAAGATCTCGGAAAGCATCCCGTTGAAGCTTACTGTGACGAAGTATGTTTTCATTTTCTTTTTCCTTCCTGAAAGTGAACATTTCTAGCTAAGAAAATCGTAAAATTCTAATGAAGGGATCAATGATTCTTAGGTTTAAGATGATTGAAAGATACTGGTGAAAAAACTCAGGGTCAATGTTTTGAATATAATTCGGATTTTGGATCAACCAAACACAGTGCAATTTGAAAATACTTGTAAATATATATAATATCATGTACATACATGCACACAAAGTGTTGAGTAGGTCGGTCAAATATATATAAACATGTATATATCTAGACTTTACCGGGTAAAATTGGTACTAATTGTTAATTTCCTTTTCTTTTAAAAAATCATAAAAGACATGTATTACATTAATATCATGCCACATTGACCGTATGGAAGGAATCTTCTAAAAGACATGTAGTAATAAATGATGGATAATCTACGCATATATTTCATCAGCTCACTAGTGTTTGGTTTAAATTACTGTAGATTGGAGTTGTTGTTAAATCAGCCAACTATTCTTTGAGCTCTGTTGAGAAATGGATGGCCCCCAAAAAGGTATGTTGTTTGTTTTCTCTCTTTGCAACCATTGCCTTTATTTAACCCTTCTGCTTCTTTGAGCTCTGTGGATGCATTATTTTAGTTGGACTCTTGGCCAAAATAGCAGTATAAGATTTGGATGAAACTTGAGTTCAAGATTGAAATTAAAACCATTGCATTGATGGGAAAACAACTTGAATATGTTGTGGTAAAATTATTTAAAATGAAGTTGGAGTTTGACTTGTGTTTAGGATTCATTGGCTGTGTTTTCAGTATTCATTACTCATCCAATTGTGATCAATTTTTGTAGATAAATAGATATGGATTTCACTTATTTGACAAGAATGAAGTATGCTGTATATCAAAAATTCAAAGGTCGTGTTCATTCACCTAGCAGTTGAATTGAATGAGCATGCACCAGCTAGATATCATGCCTTGTGCTGAACTCATTCCGTTCCATCAAACGCTATTTCAGTAGATAAAATCTGTTTGAGGCCATATTCAGCTACTAATGATGCAATTTGGGCAGGGTCACATACCACTACTTTTCTTCCCAGCGAAAGGAGAAGTGTTGCCAGAACCGCTTGGCCTAGTACTCATATTTTCATGTTGGAACTTCCCCATCTGTGAGTGTAGACTCCAACTAATTATTGACAAATTATTGTGGTGATTCCTGAAACTTCTGAGCAGGCTAAGGAATTCACGACTTGCTATGCTATCATATAGCACTATTCTGCAATCAAATGTTGAAACTATATGGTTCTATAAAATTCCAAAATAATCACACCCTGTATATGCCTCACTAATAGTCTTTATGCCAAATTAAGTTAGCATGAATCATGAGTATACATATATCAGTTGTTGTCGGTATCTGCATATTGAGGCACCATCTCCTTGCATGCAGCATTGGCATTGGACCCATTGATAGGAGCAATATCTGCTGGAAACACAGCTGTCCTAAAACCTTCAGAGCTAGCCCCGGCATGCTCTTCATTCCTTGCTGATACAATCCCTCTTTACTTGGACAACAAAGCCATTAAAGTCATTGAAGGCGGGACAGATGTTGCTGAAAAACTACTACAGCAGAAATGGGACAAGATATTCTTCACAGGTATCACCTTCCAGCCTTACTTTTATTTGTATTTCTCTAATTAAGGAAAGCTTAGCAACCCTTTTCTATGTTGGCTACAATGAACTAAAGTTGAAGTGAATGAATTAGTTTTGTTGGATGAGTTTTGCTTCTTAACTGTATGGTCCATTAGAATGACAAATTTCGCCTTGATCGATGGTTTTTTAGGGAGTCCACGAGTGGGACAAATTGTCATGTCTGCAGCTGCGAAGCATCTAACCCCCGTCACTCTGGAGCTGGGTGGAAAATGTCCTCTAATACTCGACTCGCTCACAAACCTCTCGGATTTAAAGGTTGTGCACCTACTGCAGCATACTGTTTCAGAGATCAGAAAGATAAATTATTGTTTTAAACTGGTTAAACATGCTTTGCTTCTGTCTTGTGTTGATTTCAAGGTGGCTGCCAAAAGAATAGCTTGGGGAAAGTGGGGACCTTCCGGTGGCCAAGCATGTGTAGCAATAGATTATGTGCTTGTGGAACACAGATTTGCATCTCTTCTGGTACTAAAGATATCATTCAGTCTAGTACTTTTTTTTTTTTTTTTGGTATCATGTAGTTGTAAGATTTTAGAGTAGAATTATATCTATGAATACTTGTTTATTTTCAGATTGAATCATTGAAGGGGGCTATCAAGAAATTTTATGGTGATGACCCAACAAACTTGAAGTACCTCTCCAGAATTGTTAACAAGCACCACTTTGATAGACTGTGCAATCTTCTTGAAGATCCTAATGTCGAAGCTTCCATTGTTCATGGTGGTTCACTAGACAAAAACAATTTGTAACTTCTCTATGACCTTTCTCTAGTTCCAATTTCAATATTTGTATGATGAGATAGACCTCATGTACTCGTGTTCATGGTAAGCATCTTCCTGATATCTGTCAGCTAAACTTTTACAGGATCATCGAACCAACAGTCTTGCTAGATCCTCCGCTTGATGCTGAGATCATGACTGAAGAAATATTTGGCCCATTGCTTCCAATTATCACCGTAAAAAACAATGTACCCTTTATTGTTGTTATGAGATCTTCCAAGACCATTATCACATTATAATGTATTAATTCTTTATGCAGGTGAACAACATTCAGGAAAGCATTGAATTCATAAACTCGAAGCCTAAACCTCTTACCATCTATGGATTCACCAAGAATGAAGCATTAAAGAAACAGATTTTGACAGAAACATCATCAGGAAGTGTGGTTTTCAACGATGCCCTGGTTCATGTACTGTACTCTTTTGTTCCTTGTAAATGTGCACTTCTACAAAAATGTTAATAGTTCTCTAAAAGCTATCTTCAGAATTATTTGAAAAATTTTCAGAGAACTAAACCAAACAGACCCTTGATCACTTTCTTTGTTAACGTTGCAGTTTCTATGTGATGATCTACCGTTTGGAGGCGTTGGCCAGAGTGGTTTCGGGAGGTACCATGGGAAGTACTCTTTCGATACCTTCAGCCATGAAAAAGCAGTTCTGCAAAGAAGCTTCTTCCCCGATCTGGAGATTTTGTATCCTCCATTGAATGATTCCAAGTTACAATTCATCAGATTGGCTTACAAATTCGACTATGTTGGAATACTGCTACACTTTTTGGGCTTGAAGAAAACATTCACTTGAAGTGAATTACCTTAAAATCCAATGTCAAACTATAGTTTGAAACTTTGATAAGCATGTTCTGATATTGAATAAGTATGTGCCTGTACACAGATAAAAGGACATTCAAATTGACCCTTTTTATATTCTTATGGTTTTCTGTAATCAGATATCAAAACTGGTGTCCTGAATGGTCACTTGCATAACCTTCTTGGTTGGATCTGCAAATGGTGATAATGAAGTTGGAGGTTGATGGTATTTTGTAGGGACTCAAAACACCTGATTCACAGCTCTGCTTTACAAATTTTCATCATTTCAAATATGAGCAGAAGAAACTAGGTAAAAAATAGTTTTAAATTACCAATATATTAAATTATACAAAACATATTAAATTATTATTATTCTAAATTAAAACTCTTTCTTCCCTTCCCTCCTAACGAACACGGTAAACTGTAAACTTTTCTCCTCTTTCATCCAACTGAACAAAAAAAGAATATCACAATTTCTTCTCTGGATTGTATTATCAATCTTTTCTTCTTTTCCTTCTATTCAATTTATTTATTTATTTATTATTTTTTTATCTAAGCGAAACATTAATATAACATAATACATCAAGTTACAACACTAATACTATTAAATTAAAAATATAACATATTCATCATTGTTACATTTTCAATTGAATTAACAATCAGCCACAATTGCAAACTGAATGGTTCGGCAAAGCCAATGGATGCATTATTGGAGGACCCATATGGGTCCCACACTAGTGCATCAAATGGGGCTCTAATCCTCTTTATCTTGCACTTTTATGGCTTGTTTTACTAAAACAATTATTTTCTTTCTTAATTTTATTTTGTTGGGTGAGGGTCAATTTAAATACATTGGAGGTATTGTAGCTTGTCCCATTTTTCCGTCATTTTCTTTATCGATTTAATATTATAAGGTTAGGGTCAATTTAAATGCATTGGAGGTATTGTAACTTGTTTCACTTTACCTCATTTTCTTTCTCAATTTTATGTTGTTGGGTTAGTGTCAATTTAAATGCATTAGAGGTATTGTAGTTTGCCTCACTTTTCTATAATTTTTTTCCTCGATTTAATGTTGTCGGGTTAGTTTCAATTTTTAAAAAACACATAAACGAAACGGGTCATGGATGTGATACGACATGGACACGGCGGGACACGAGGAATTATATATATATATAATGTTATACTTTAAAATAATATTATGTTTTTTATCAACCTAATAGTGGGAAGAAAAAAAAAAAAATTGGGTTTTTTTAGGAAGAAGAAAGACGGTTTCCACAGCTTGTCAAAGATAATTTAGCAAGAATTTGAACCTTTGAACTAAAATATAAGCTTAAATATCTAATTGTTTAATATAAAATTGTTTTATTAAGTAATGATCATTATATTAATGAAAGCTATTAAAAACTCTTCATATTTACATTTTAACCTAATTTCCTTTCTAAAATTCTCTTAAAATCCCAAAGTACCTTACTTTAAAAATAATAATAATAAAATAAAAAATCCCCAACATATCAGTGTCAAAATATTCAAAAAAAAAAAAAAAAAAAATTAAAAAATCACACATTTTTGCTTATCCAACACGTATTTTGGCATGTCCGGCACACATCGGTGTTTGAGACGTGTGCAATACGAATTATTTCTCCTTTTAAGTGTATTCGTACTTTTTAGATCAATTTAAATGCATTGGAGATATTGTAGCTTGTCCCACTTTACCACCATTTTCTTTCTCAGTATATGTGTTACTGGCGAATGAGTCCTCCTTTCAAGGAGAAATTATTGTATGGACCAAGTCCATACACCTCACTTAGCTGAATTGGTGGACTACACCAATTAATTCTACACACATATAATAAAAAATTATTTTTATATTCAATTTGCCACATCAGCTTTGTAACATTTCTCTCCTCTTTCAGCCATTTTAGCGCGCCATTGTTTTATAGAGAGAAAGAGGAGAGAGGCTATTAGGTTTTGAACTTCTGATTCTTGTAGATTTTGTGGTTTGTAGTTGCGGAGAGAGAGAGAGAGAAGCAAGTTCAGAGTTGAGAACGAGAATAGAGATAGATGGAGCCGATTGGGGAGGCTGAAAAAGGAAAGAGATGTTGCAAAGCTGATGTGGCAAATTGAATATAAAAATATTTTTTTATTACATGTGTGTAGAATTAATTGGTATAGTCCACCAACTCAGCCAAGTGAGGTGTATCGACATACCCTTGAAAGGGATACAATAATTTATCCCTTTCAAGGGTATGTTGACAAAGCACTTCCGGACTACGAAGTGTTGGTTGGCTAGTGTCAATTTAAATGCAGGGCAGGTATTGATGTAACTTTTCCCAACTAAATGTTGTTGGTTTTAATATCAGTTTCTAAGAGCAAAGAAACACAGATACGCAAATATATATATATATATATATATATTACCTCCTTCCTATATTAGTTGTTTATTTTAAAAAATTTGACTCATTACAACCTTTTATTTTTGTGTCAATTGAGATCATATTTAGTCATATTTCTTTTATATACTTATATACTATCTATATCCCCATATTAAATGCCTACTTCTATAAATTTGACTCACAAAAAATTGTAAGTAGTATATATATATATATATATATATATATATGATGTTGTACGTTAAGAAATTAAGAGTAATATTATTTTTTATCAACCTAATAATGAAAACAAAATTGTGTTTTTTAAGGGGAAAAAATGATAGTAAGAGGGTTAAAAAATAGAAGAAAACAAAGAAACAAAGAGGATTAGGATTATGCTAGAAAAAGAATTAGTGCTTAGTTAGTGAGAATCATAGAAGAGAAAAGGTCCATGGAAGCAAGAGGAAAAAGGAAAAAGAGAGTAAAAAGAATTTTGTTGTGAAAGGGAAAGAAGAAGTAACTAGAGTTTATGAAGAAGAAGAAAGAAAACAGAAGAAGAAAGAGGAGAGAGAGAGAGAGAGAGAGAGAGAGAAACAATCCACCTTAAGCGAAGCTTGGTTAGTGAAGAACAAGAGAGTAAAAAATAATATTACAAGAGTTTAAACCTTTGAACTAAAATATAAGTATAAATACCTGATTGTTTGATATAAAATTGTTGGGAGGCAATATTTGCACTTCACTTTACTGCAATTGCACCCTTCTCGATCTTTTTATTTTTAAAAAAATGACAGACTATCCCTAAACTCATTAATGTATCATTCTTTATTTTATAGGATTAAATGTTCCGACACCCCTTCAAATTTGGGTTTATTATTCTCATATTAAACCTCAACTAAAACTGTTGTCGCACCACCATCAGGTTTGACTCTGACACCCCTTTTTAAAATTAATAAAATAAAATGCCTAAAATACCCTCCGTTGTTTCAAGTACTTTTTTACCCTTAATTTATTAGATCTGTATACACCTCTTTATGTTATTACCACTCGTCCACGTGTCAGCAGCCTTTTGGCTGTTGAACTTAATTTATATATATATATATATATTTTATTTCCAATTTTTTACTTTTTTTATTTTTTTTATTTGAAGTGTCTTTCTCTCTATATATATATGGGAATTGTGGAAAAATATTATATATGCATGTATGTAGCTTCATGCATTGGAGGTAATGTAGTTTGTCCCACTTTACCATCATTTTCTTTGACAGTTTAATGCTGTTGAGTAGGTGTGAATTTAAATGCGATGGAGGTATTGTAGCTTCTTCCCACTACCAGTTTAATGTTGTTGAGCTGGTGTGAATTTAAATGCGTATTGTAGCTTGTTCCCAGTACCGTCATTTTCTTTCTCGATTTAATGTTGTTGGGTTAGAGTCAATTTAAATGCATCGTACCGTATTGTAGCTTGTTCCACTTGACCAAGTAAGGTATAACCAAAAGCTTATTAGTTGGCCTCAGCTTTCATATATATGCCCAAAATACTATATATATATATATTGAAGATCAAATGATCTTACATGTGTGTGTAGAATCATAATCATAAGTATGGAATTGGAGGGTGAAGTGGGACTAGGTGAGCTGAGACAATGTTTCAGAAGTGGAAGTACAAGAAGCGTTTCATGGAGGAAAGCCCAGCTTGAAGCTATCCTAAAGCTCATCACTGACAACGAAGACAAGATGTTCAAAGCCCTTCAACAAGATCTTGGAAAGCATCCCGATGAAGCTTACCGTGATGAAGTTAGTGTTTTTTTTTTTTTTTTCTTTTTTTTTTTTTTTTCATGAAAGTACAGCACACCAAATGAGTTCGAATCCTCTGCAGTATGACACGCGTGTTGTACTACAGTGGATGGCCATGATCACTCAAACGTCTGATTGTGCCACACGTGTGAGGGGGATCGTGGTTGTCCAGTATTGTCAGTGACAAATCCAAAGAATTGTATGAACGGGAGAGGCCTTGAACAATAATAAAATATTATAAGGTATCACCATAAATTGAGTAGGGGTATTTTTACAATTTTCACAAAAAACATAGGTAATTTTGTAAATAAAAAAATTGTCTGCACCCACTCAATTTTTGGTGCTACCTATCGTATATTGTTATTGTTCAAGCCCGCCTCCTCTCGTACAATTCTCTGGGTTCGTCACTGATAGTACTGGACGGCCACGATCCCTTGTGAGTGATCATGGCCGTTCACTACAGTACAACACGCTTGCTGTAAAGGGATCGATAAAAGATTGATAATCTACTCGCATGTTGTAAAGGGACCGATAATCTACCCATTTATTTCATCATCTCATTAGTGTTTGGGTTATATTACTGTAGATTGGAGCAGTGGTTAAGTCAGCCAACAATTCTTTGAGCTCCGTTGAGAAATGGATGGCCCCCCAAAAGGTGTGTTGTTTGTTTTCTGTCTTTTCAGTCATTGCCTTTATTTAAGTACCCCTCTGCTTGTTTAACATGGTATAAAATTAGTATGAAACTTGAGAGTTCAAGAGTGAAATTAAAACCAATGCATGGATGGAAAAACAACTCAGAATATGTTGTGGTAAAATTATTCAAAATGAAGTTGGAATTCAACTTGTGTTCAGGATTCACTGGCTGTGTTTTCAATATTCATTAGTCACCCAATTATCATCATATTTTGAAGATATATAGATTTGGATTTCACTTGTTTGACAAGAATGAAGTACATTGTGTATCAAAAATTCAAAGGTTGTGTTCGTTCCTTCCTTGTGCTGAACTCATTCGTGTTCATCAAACGCTATCTAAGTCGATAAAAATCTGTTTTTTAGGCCATATTTCAGCTACTAATGATGCAATTTGGGCAGGTTCGCATACCAGTACTTTTCTTCCCAGCAAAAGGTGAAGTGTTGCCTGAACCGCTTGGCCTAGCACTCATTTTTTCATCTTGGAACTTCCCCATTTGTAAGTATATATACTCTTAACAAATTATTCAATATGAAACTATATGATTAATTGTATTGTATTAGTATATAAATTCATAACAATCACACCTATGTCTATGCAGTATCGGCATTGGACCCATTGATAGGAGCGATATCTGCAGGAAACGCAGCAGTTCTAAAACCTTCAAAGCTAGCCCCGGCATGCTCTTCGTTCCTTGCTAATACAATCCCTCTTTACTTAGACAACAAAGCCATTAAAGTCATTGAAGGCGGGGCAGACATTGCTGAAAAAGTACTTCAGCAGAAATGGGACAAGATATTCTTCACAGGTATATATATGCATTTCTCTAATCAAGTAAACAACCACCCTTTTCTTTGTTGCCTACAAAGAACTAAAGTTGAAATTTTGAAATATTGTTTTTAGGGAGTCCGCGAGTGGGAAGAATTGTCATGTCTGCAGCTGCAGAGCATCTAACACCGGTCACTCTAGAACTGGGCGGAAAATGTCCTATAATACTCGACTCCCTCACAAACCTCTCAGATATACAGGTTTGTGCGCGTGTAGCGTAGTGTTTCAGAGATAAGAAAGACAAATTTATGTTTTAAACTCGTTAAATCTTGCTTTTCTTATGTCTTCTTGTGTTGATTTCAATTTCAAGGCGGCTGTCAAAAGAATTGCGCAGGGAAAGTGGGGACTCTGCAGTGGCCAACCACGTATAGGAATAGATTATGTGCTTGTGGAACACAAATTTGCATCTCTTCTGGTACTAATGATATCATTTTGTCTAGTACTGTAACGACCCTAGCTGATGTCAAAATTTTAAAAAAAATTGGCATAACCTCCCCTAAAAATGGGCCTACCACAACCTGTTTAAATGAATTTTTTAACCTTTCCCAGCATAATAAACATATAATACATTCTAACATCCCTTTAATCCATTCACCATGCCTTAACTTAGTTCCTCTCATGGTGGAATATCCACACACCAATTAATCTAAACTATCATAATTACAGTCTCAAAATACATGGTTGAGATTTAAAGTCCCTGTCTTATAACGTTACATGATACAATTGCATGGAAATATATATACCATAATTCCATTAGTTTCATTTACATCAAACAAAAGATAAGTTCGTTCTTAAGTTACAAGGTCATGAATACTAACTTAATTACATTTCCACAACTATGAATATACATAGAATGGTCAAAATACAAAATAGCAAACAACCTTCTAACAACTTTTAAGCTTGAGGTGGATTGTCGTCCACCGGTTCATTTCCAAGACCTGAAAAAATATATATATAAATATATGGGGTGAGCAAATTGCTCAGTAGGTGGCACCTAAAACACGCATCTTGTGTCCCCGTGAACCCAAATAAGGAATAGGACAATAGGAATCGGGGTCATACTGTGTAGGAAAAATACAACATAACATACAGTTTCAACACAATCAATATGGAGCAATGAAATGCGGTGCATGTTAATGTCACTCCCCATTTTCAACAATTCAAATCCACCAATTTCAAACTGTTAATGTAACCCCCTTTGGTGACTCCACAGCGCCAAGAGAAGGATTGGCTACTGTCCCTGACCTTTGGTGACTCCGCAGCGTCATTATGGGCCCAGATAGCTCAACCACGCTAGGGCAATCTCCCTAGTTCCCTCTAGGTTACATTAACCTACCGGCCCATTGGTGACTCCGCAGCGACCGAGTTTTCTCAAAACTCTTTTTCATCAAAACTTGTTTCCCCCAAAAGTTTCCCTTTTTGTATCAAACAATTTCTTTCCCATTTTGATACCCAATGACATGCATGATTATCATATGCTTTCATGATGCCATAATACATGAAAGATTCATACAATACACAATTTAACATGCTCCCATTCAACAATTTTCAAAGAAATTACTAGCACCATAAGCATAATGGAAGCTACACATAGACATGCTTTCCATATAACAAATTCTACCAAGATATAAACACTGAAGCATGTAAAATCAACATCTAAGCATGTTCGTCTCACAAAACCACATATACACATAAACATGAATCTCATTTACAAAACCAAATCATTATTAGAGGTAATCAACTCAATTAAGCATGTTAAGCATCAATTAACAAGGATTAATTCACTAGGGGGCAAGAACTCATGGATTAGAAACCCCTACCTCTTAGAATTGCGAAAACCCTCAAAATGGGTCCAAATTTCGAAGTCTCTAGGGAGCACCAAAACTGAAATTGCTTGTACCCACGTGTAAAGTTCGTCGTGCTCTCCGTTTTGCCTCAAACGGCACTTAAATCTACCATGTAATGAGAGAGAAATCAAGATCCAAAGTTTGGCTTCCAAAAGAAAAAAAAAAAATGAAAGGAAATGAGGGAGAGAGAGGAAGAAACGGGGAAAGAGAAAAATGAGAGAGAAGGAGTGGTCTTTAAACCACTAATGCATTAGTGGTGGGTCCCTCCACTTCAAATTTTGATTTTCCATTATTCTTTTGTCACAAAATTCTACACCACATAACATGTACAATGCACCACATGCATATACCACTTAGTCCACATGAATTTAAATGTACCAATTGCAATTGGACCAAACCACAATCCGTACGCAAAACGTGAAATGACATAAATACCTTTGCGGTAACAAAATTTTCAGAAAATTAAAAAATGGCAAAAAAAAATCGGAAACGTCACAATCTACCTTCCTTAAAGAGATTTCATCCTCGAAATCTACCCTCCTTAAAGAAAAGGCTCCTAACCACAGTCTTTCAGAGAACTCCTCACAAAATCCCAAGACTAATAACTCAACAACCATATTGCCTTTGACACTAGCGTCAACAGGCAATCACACATTGCCGCCAAAAAACTCAATGATCACCACTCCCATGAGGGAACTCATCACTCATAACGTCATGCACAAAACCCGCTGAATCCTATACTCGACTTAAGACCAACACCGGTCTCCTCTACACTGCTACATAATACTTCGGAGCTCGAAGAAGAATGGTCACAAGACCCTGGAACATGACAACATCCTATCACACTCATCCTTCTAAAGGGCAACTCAGACCCCAAATGAGAAACCTCATCCAGCACACAATCAAACTCAAACCCAATCTACACGTCATTGTCCAATCCAATACTCGTCATCTAACATACGGCTATACTCCTATAAAATCATACAATGACCACCAACGACACTAACCGATAATTATAATACTGGTCAACTTCAAGATAACTAAATGATGAATTCCCCAACAATCATACAATCATGAGTCACCAAAACAATAAGATGTACTACTCTGAATTCTGAACACAAATCCTCAAAACGAGGTTCTCTATAATCAATGATTGTACCACTAACCCGTTATCAAACACCCAATACCACCTAACACCTTCCGTCACCCAAGATAAATCAGGTAAGTCCACATTGCCACACCAACACAACATACAATACCATACTCTCACTATCACTAACAAGTCGGAACGATCATTGACCTTGACCCGATATCGTGCCAAAGAAGGATTGATTCAGGAGAAATGGTTGGCCAGGCCACTCTCATCCTCAATCTGATCTCGACATAGATATCGTTCCTATCATCAGGTCTAAACCTCAAACACAACCCTAAACAGTCCACAAAACAACTATAAGATCCACTCCCTAACCAATCCATCACTCTACGTAACCTCGACCGCCATACAACCACATACCAGCTTTAAAGATCCTAATCGCACTTTAATCACACAACCCTTAACAAGCGGGAAACAAAACGACCCCAAACATCACAATTACCAATCAGCACAAAAGATCACAGTCTCCTTATAGCACCTATATCAGGTAAACAACTCAATATCACCATTTGGTTTAATTCTTACCTCTTCAAAACACTCAATGCGATCTCTCATGCCTGAAACCTCAAAACCAAAGTCAATTATCCCTATTATTCTCCAATGGAATCCCATAATCATTTTCTAGTTGTATAACACCCAAGCAATACGAACATTTATCCTTAAGTCACTACTAAAATCAATCACCATTCGAATACATGAGTCATATCACATCACTTAATTATTCTCAAATTGCAATTCATGACACATTCCCTAGCCACCACCGCGAATAACAAACATTAGAATTACAAACCTCATTTGGCAACTCGTGCTTCAAATTCTACCAGTCAAAACCATCCTCAAAACAAGGACTACAAAACTAAGGCTATACCTCCCTCCGTGGAAGTAAGTCAACCCCTTCAATCAAAACCTCAATCGACGAACTCTAACAAAGTAACACTTACTCGCAATTCCGTCCTTCTACGGATGCATACAACTCCTAGACAGAGACAAGACTCACAACAAACGACGTCCTTGCCAGGACTATAACAACAGAAGAGTAACAAACCCCGCTCTCACAAAAGACCAACAACTCGCACCTGTATGCACCCGACACCCTATTACACGTTACTCATCAACTGTCCAACCATGGACCCCCACTCGCTCCTGAGATGAAATGAACTTCCTATGCACTAGGAAAAGAACCGACTAGTAACACACAGAGAACTACGAACACCAATCTAGGCGACCTCGCCACAAATAAACCGTCACGCTCTATTAACACAAATACCTCGCACACACTACGCTAACCAAAATTAACCAGATAAAAGCACCAACGCCCTTAACATACTAAAACTAGGAAACATTGTTGTAAGTTGGACACCGCGTCCCCTCCTACCCGATAATCTCCAAATGAGAAACTCTGTGAAATATAACGACACCTGATCACCTGTTCCACCTCTACCCTTTTGAAGTTGACACTGCCTTAATCACCATGTACACAAACCTGTGACCTCAATCACAACGACATTATGACTTGTCAAAGAAAATGGTGCCTATCTAGCAACACCGTCCTCACTGACCCCAACGTTCACACCATCCATAATTGCCTCAACTGGCACACAATCCATCACCTACCTGACAACACACAACAAACGACTCGTAATTTCCAAACTACATTTGGATTATATCTTAAACCACTCTGCTCATTAGCACCAAGCATCACACTAAAACACCATAATGCCCCTACTGCCACTTATTCCAACCATAGTTCTATCATATCCTCCCACTGGACCATCGAACCACAATTATAAGATTATTCCTTAAATATCCTTAAGACAATATCATCATAACAAAAGAACAAACATTACTCTCGATACTCCTCATAATGATCATTATATATATATCCCTAAAAAAAAACCTCAATACGGCAATGCCATGCCAACAAATCCTCAAACAAAATGAGCACAAGATCCGGAATGCTCAACACCCACTTGTCTCCTTAGAATCATCTACAATACAATCATTCACGAATGCTTAATCGACCACCTAACCTATTGCTTCTAAGGTGATTGACATGACTAAGCAAGAAAATTTCATGTCCTAAGTTCAACATCATTACCACTACCATCACCATCTCCATTACTCGTTAATCCGAACAATCACCAAGGAAAACACTAATGAAATACTATAAACAATTGTCATTACATACCTTCATCCACAGGAGGTCTCTCTGGTGACTCAATAGGAGAAACAACTGGAATGGCTACACGACCCTGAGTCTCCCATTCCTGTGACTCCCCAAGCTGAACACCGATCTATGATACTGAAGGTCGAGTCGGTCCTTGCTCTGAACCTACCTCGCCAACTGGAATTCCACCTCTTTTGGGACAATCCTTGTTCCTATGGTCTAGCTAACCACACACAAAACAGACTCCAGAACTGGGCCGATCCCAAGGGCACTCCGCTCTCAAATGACCAATTTGCTTGCACTTATAGCAAGCCTTCTCGACTTTAGAGGATGTCCCCGGCAGTGAAGCAAAAACAGCAGGAGAATAAGAAGAATCACCCTTTAACATTTTCCGTACATGACTCTCACACGACATCTCCCTTTCCTTAACCTGTTTCTAAAAATCTCCACCTCTTGATCCATCCATAACCCCTGTTCTCACTGACTGTGCCATCAACCTCTGGGTCTCTATGACTACTGTACGTACAAAGTTTGTCATAGCCTCAACCAAATTCTTAACCAAAAGATCCCAATCAAGGAACTCATCCTACTCCCCATCATCATCTGCTTCTCTACGTCTCTTCAGAGGCATGATTATAAGAATAGAAAGAAGGAGGTCAAATACAACACAATCATACAACCCTGACTCAAAGCTTTGAACATTCACACACAATAAGGGCACCTAGCCATAAAATATGAACCCGTTCTACAGTCGTGCTCAGGATGACTACACACCAAATAGCTCAATCCACGAGCTAGAAGCCCACGCCATCCGTTCGATAAAAACTAGCTCCCAACAACCCTGGAGCTACCGAGCTCCTCGCCATCTCAGGTCAAACTCACACAACCGTCAACGCCGTGACAATTACCCCAACGTACTAGCGATCATTCCAATGCTTAACCTTATTACTACTACATAAGGATATGGACACATACACATATGCGAGGTGGATGAAACTTACAATACCATCGTTATAAACAATACTACACGAACCGTGCCTACTACTTGCCATTGCCATAATTCTCATACTTATCATCATAACAAGATCAACAAGTCTTTAATCCTCATCATGGTGATAATATGCATTATTTTAAACATATAAACATGTGATCACATAGCAATTAAGCAGGTAAGTAAGGAAGCATGCTTCTTAAACAGTTAAACACTTTATCATGTAACACACAGGCATGTAAACAATTTAGCATGCTCTTTCAAATATCAAAACACATAACAATTAATCTCATATGCAATGCAAACGACTTCCCATGCAATCCTATATAGGCCTCTACCCGTCGTCCTAAGGTTATTGAACCATCGCTCTGATACCATCTTTGTAACGACCCTAACTGATGCCAAAATTTAAAAAAAAATTAGCATAACCTCCCCTAAAAATGGGCCTACCACAACCTGTTTAAATGAATTTTTTAACCTGTCCCAGTACAATAAACATATAATACATTCTAACATCCCTTTCATCCATTCACCATGCCTTAACTTAGTTCCTCTCATGGTGGAACATCCACACACCAATTAATCTAAATTATCATAATTACAGTCCCAAAATACATGGTTGAGATTTAAAGTCCCTGTCTTACAACGTTACATGAAAAAAATTACATGGAAATATATATACCATAATTCTATTAGTTTCATTTACATCAAACAAAAGATAAGTTCGTTCTTAAGTTACAAGGCCATGAATATTAACTTAATTACATTTCCACAACTATGAATATACATAGAATGGTCAAAATACAAAATAGCAAACAATTTTCTAACAACTTTCAAACTTGAGGTGGATTGTCGTCCACCGGTTCATTTCCAAGACCTGAAAAAAAAAATAATATATATATATGAGGTAAGCAAATTGCTCAGTAGGTGGCACCTAAGACATGCATCTTGTGTCCCCGTGAACCCAAACAAGGAATAGGACAATAGGAATCGAGGTCAAACTATATAGGAAAAATACAACATAACATACAGTCTCAACACAATCAATATGGAGCAATGAAATGCAGTGCATGTTAATGTCGCTCCCCATTTTCAACAATTCAAATCCACCAATTTCAAACTGTTAATGTAACCCCCTTTGGTGACTCCGCAGCGCCGAGAGAAGGATTAGCTACTGTCCCTGACCTTTGGTGACTCTGCAACGTCATTATGGGGTCCAGATAGCTCAACCACGCTAGGGCAATCTCCCTAATTCCCTCTAGGTTACATTAACCTACCGGCCTGTTGGTGACTCCGCAGTGACCGGGTTTTCTCAAAACTTTTTTTCATCAAAACTTGTTTCCCCCAAAAGTTCCCCTTTTTGTATCAAATAATTTCTTTCCCATTTTGATACCCAATGACATGCATGATCATCATATGCTTTCATGATGCCATGATACATGAAAGATTCATACAATACACAATTTAACATGCTCCTATTCAACAATTTACAAAGAAATTACTAGCACCATAAGCATAATGGAAGCTACACATAGACATGTTTTCCATATAATAAATTCTACCAAGATATAAACACTGAAGCATGTAAAATCAACATTTAAGCATATTTGTCTCACAAAACCACATATACACATAAGCATGAATCTCATTTACAAAACCAAACCATTATTAGAGGTAATCAACTCAATTAAGCATGTTAAGCATTAATTAACAAGGATTAATTCACTAGGGGGCAAGAACTCGTGGATTAGAAACCCCTACCTCTTAGAATTGCGAAAACCCTCAAAATGGGTCCAAAATTCGAAATCTCTAGGGAGCACCAAAACTGAAATTGCTTGTACCCACGTGTAGAGTTCGTCGTGCTCTCCGTTTTGCCTCAAACGGCACTTAAATCTACCATGTAATGAGAGAGAAATCAAGATCCAAAGTTTGGCTTCCAAAAGAAAAGAAAAATGAAGGGAAATGAGGGAGAGAGAGGAAGAAACGGGGAGAGAGAAAAATGAGAGAGAAGGAGTGGTCTCTAAACCACTAATGCATTAGTGGTGGGTCCCTCCACTTCAAATTTTGATTTTCCATTATTCTTTTGTTACAAAATTCTACACCACATAACATGTACAATGCACCACATGCACATACCACTTAGTCCACATGAATTTAAATGTACCAATTGCAATTGGACCCAACCATAATCCCGTACGCAAAACGTGAAATGACATAAATACCTCTGCGGCAACAAAATTTTCAGAAAATTAAAAAATGGCAAAAAAAATAGGAAACGTCACAAGTACATTTTTTTTTTTTAAAGAGTAGAATTATTTCTATGACTACTTGTTTATTTTTAGATTGACTCATTGAAGAGGACTATGAAGAAGTTTTATGGTGATAATCCAAAAAGCTTGAACAACCTCTCTAGAATTGTCAACAAGCACCACTTTGATAGACTGCACAATCTTCTTGAAGATCCTAATGTTGGAGCTTCCATTGTTCATGGTGGTTCACTAGACGAAGAGAATTTGTAACTACTCTGCAACCTTTATCGAGTTCCAATTTCAGTATGTTTTTCATGGTAAGAAGATTCCTGATATCTCTGTCTGCTGAACTTTTTACAGGATCATCGAACCAACAATCTTGCTGGATCCTCCACTTGATGCTGAGATCATGACTGAGGAAATATTTGGCCCATTGCTTCCAATTATCACTGTAAGAAAAAACAATGTACCATTTATTGTTGTTGTCATGAGATTTTCCTAGACCACTATCACTTTAGAATGTGTTTATTCTTTATCATGCAGTTGAACAAGATTCAGGACAGCATTGAATTCATAAACTCGAGGCCTAAACCTCTTACCTTGTATGCATTCACCAAGAATGAAGCATTCAAGAAACAGATTTTGACAGAAACATCATCTGATACTCTGGTTTTCAACGATATCTTCGGTCAAGTACTGTCACTCTTTTGTTCCTTGTACATGTCTACTTCTAGAAAAAAAGTTACGGGTTTGCTTGGTTTGTTCCTCAGAAAACAGAAAACTATTTTCGAACTATAAAAAGCAGTTATCTAAAAACAAGTCTTTTATAACTGAGTTTTCGGAAAACTGAATTAAGTAGAGTTTTTGTACAGTTTTCTGATTTTCAGTTCTCTCTGAAGATAGTTGAAAATAGACACTTGATCAGTTTGCTTGTTAACATTGCAGTTTCTATGTGACGCACTACCATTTGGAGGCGTTGGCCAGAGTGGTATTGGGAGGTACCATGGGAAGTACTCTTTCGAGACCTTCAGCCATGAAAAGCCCGTTCTGCATAGGAGCTTCTTCCCCGATATGGAGATGTTATATCCTCCATTGAATGATTCCAAGTTACAATTCCTCAGATTGGCTTACAAATTCGACAATGTTGGAATACTGCTACACTTTTTGGGCTTGAAGAAAACATTCACTTGAAGTGAATTACCTTAAAATCCAATGTCAAACTATAGTTTGAAACTTTGATAAACATGTTCTGATATTGAATAAGTATGTGTCTGTAGAAGACAACAATAAAAGGGCAATCCATTATGTACTTTCTTAGCATAATGCACTCTTGATATTTAGGTATTTATATGGCAGAGTGCTGAACATTATATATATTACTAGTTTGAAATTCATAAAAACATCTGAAAGTGAGGTGTTGAACTGCATTTACCTTTCTACAAATGAAAAGTTCTTGAATAAACAGAGAAGTTATTTGAGTGCAATCACAGAACTGCTGTCTTTCACTAGCAAATTGCTACCATGTTAGAGACGAACTGTTTTAAGCCAATCCATAAACATGGATGCCAAAAGTTAGAGCTCAATCCCCATTCCCACTATAATAGGAAATGACAGGCACCTCATCTTAGAATACATAAAAATGATATATATATATATATATATATATATATTTAATATAAATTGAACAATATCTCAATATATATATGCAGGATCGATATATGAACAAATTTAAACAAGAGTTGAACAGACTTACAGAAAACTTTCTTTATTAAGCTTTCAAGCTAGAGAAATATTACAAAAGAGAGAAGAGAAAAATTGAAGTACATTGAAGGGAAACTTTGCCCTCTATTTATACATAAAATGGACTTGAAATTAACATTTTGAAGTTCGCATAGTGCATGGGATCGTGTGCTGGAATAATGCAGTCGGTCGGCCCACCACTAAGTGTTGTCTCCTTATCTGATGGAAAGTAGTCATCTGATGAAGGACATACTGTAGAACCAAAGACTTTTGGGTAAAGTTCTTTGGCTGCTTCTGTCGGTAGGATAAGAGGAATCTTTACTTTTTGGGTGGATTCATCTTGTCCCTCAAGTGACTGGTGAGAGAGTCCCAATAGTCTGCTACTGTAGGCTCATCTTCAGAATTAAGATCTTCATTGGGATCCTGTGCATAACCTGCTAGACAGGAAAACTGATTTCCGTCTTGACTGGTCTGGCTAGAGACTGATACCATGGATGCATCATCTCGTACTGTAGGGGTGGAGGACTCAAAAGATTTAACAAATTTGGTCCTCATAAAATCCATGCATTTAACCATTAAATCAGCTTCGGTAATTAATGGTTGTTGTTTTCTGATCATATCTTTAACAAGTTCAAATGGGTTAAAGATTTCGGGTTCTGGAATAGTTAACTTTGGAATCTTATCCATGTATTCCATTGTTTTCTTTCTGATCTGATGGAGGAGGGCTTGGATAGGTTCTTGAGTCATGCCTGACCACCATCTGTAATAAAAGATCCTCTGGAGGACCGGTAACTTGTCAGTGGTATAACCACATTGGAAATCCCATTTCCAAATCCAAGGGATTCCAAATTCAGTAAAGAACAATAGGGTGGATTTCCCTACAGGAATATTATCCTGTCCCCGTAATTGAGGATGAAATTGTTGCCATGGCAAGTATAATTGACTGATTGATTCGGGCAACATATCCAGATCAGGGCCAAATATAGCCCACCAGGGTATAACCCAGTTTGGGAAATCAGCCTTAACTGATTGGGGGCATATCTTGAGGAACCAAGAATGCTTATGCTTCGGATTTTGATAAAAGAACGAATATGTCCAAGCTGAGATATAATCCCAATAATTGTAACTGTGACCATAGGATAATTTTATTGGCAAATTGGGATTTAATCCCCAGTCACTAGGCCTTATAAGCCTCTTAAAGATAGCTTTACTATAAGTAAGAGGACTATCTTTGGAATTCGGAAAATGCTTCGTGTGGTTGATCTCCACAGAGGAAGTTTCAGTAAGAATGGCTTCATAGATATATCTATGGCGACCATCCGGTGCAGCATATTGTTGAGTTTGGAAATATCTGGATTTTACTTCCCAAGGATCTGGCATCCATTGCTCATCTTGGGAATCCAGTACCAATACTGTTTGAATATACCTTTGATTAGGTATCCATGGAGTTTCTTATTCAAGAACCTCTTTCATGGTTGGTTTCTGTTGTTTTTGCTGGGAGCTGCTGTTTCCTTTAGAAGGAGTTTTGAGCAGATCAGCAACATGCTCCAAATATGGAAACTGATCATCAGTGAGTGGTATAACCACTTTGGCCTTAGCCTTGTTTTTGCCACGAGCCTTTGGAGTATTACCCCGGCCCTGCCCATGGGGGGATTGATTCATGAACCCTGCAAAAATTCACGAGTTAGAAAATCAGGTAAAGAATTAGAACTGCCTTTAATATATTCAATAGAAAAATCAAAAGCAGATAAATCAGCTCGCCAACCAGCAAATATCTGTTTGGAAACTAAATTATTTACATCTTTTTCCAGTACATGTTTAGCAGCACTACAATCAATGCGTAACAAGAATTTCTGATTGATTAAATCATCTTGGAATTTATAAATGCATTTAACCAAAGAAAGAATTTCCTTTTTTATGGTTGAATAATTTAATTGTGCATTTTTCCAAGTTCCTGAAGTGAAGCGAACAAGCTCCTGTGTTCGGATTTTTCTGTTTAAGAATACCACCGTATCCGATATTGGAGGCATCTGTTTCCACAATTTTGAACCATGAAGAATTAGCTAGAGCTAAGCAAGGAATTTGTTTGGCTCTGAGTTTAATCTTCTGGACTGCCTTGGTGTGTTCCAAAGTCCATGGGGAAGGAGATTTCCTTAACCTGGTATACAAAATTGCCGTGTCCTGTGCAAGATCTCTGTAGTGATTGCGAATATAATTCAAGCTACCCAGAAATCTTTGAAGTTGAGTTTTATCCTTTATTTCATCTGGAAATTTAGAAGCAAACTCAATACTGCGATTAATAGGTCTAATTTTCCCATCACAAATTTCATGACCAAGAAATCGGACCTTAGTTAAAAACAGTTTTAGTTTAGGAGCAGAAACTACTAAACCGCTGCGGTAAATGACATCTTTGAAAATTTTCAAGTGTTTATAATGCTGATCAATTGATTTTGAAAATATTAGAATATCATCAATATAAACAATAGAAAATTCAGTAAAAGGATTAAATATGTCACTCAAAATATGTTCAAATTCTGAAAGGGCATTTTTTAATCCAAATGGCATCACTGTCCATTCATACTGTCCGAAAGGTACGCAAAAGGCTGTTTTGTACCTGTCTTCTTCTGCAATCTGTACCTGGTAATATCCAGATTTAAGATCAAATTTAGAAAAGATTACAGCAGATTGTAACCTATCTAAAAGATCTTTGATGTTGGGAATTGGGTATCGGATCCAACTTAAAGCAAGATTGAGTGGCCGATAATCAATAACCAATCGAGGAATTCCTCGTTCTTTTTCAGCATTTTTATTGACATAAAAAGCTCTGCAACTCCAGGGGGAGTAGCTAGTAGTGACAAGCTTCTTAGCCATTAAAGAGCTGATTTCAGTTTTACATAATTCCAAGTAGTCAGCTTTCATGTGGCTGGGACTAGCTTTAGAAGGAATCATGCGATCGGTAAATCCCTTTTCATAGGGTAAAGAAACAATATGCTTCTTTCTGGCCCAAAAAGCATTAGGAATCTCACTACAGATTTCCTTTAGAAAGTTTTGCCGTAGTGACTCAATTTTCTGTTGCTCAGTGGGTTGTACCAATCTTTGATTAATTGCTAAGGAGGATACCTCCTTTTACAAATAATTCAGTTGCTTTTCCTTAAAGATAATGTTATCTTTAAGAGCATTGATATGCTTATTTACTGGTGGGGTCAAGAACTGGAAAGTAATTGACTAGCCATGTAAATTAGAGCATATTCCATGAGAATCAATTTTCCCAATTGGCATAATCAAAGCTAAAAAGGGAGTGCCCAAAATAACTTGTTGTGCCATGTTTCTGATGAGTAAGAAAGTAGATGGTAGACAAATACCTTCTTTACAAATGAAAACATGATTAAGTTTATACTTAATCTGCATCTTACCTCCACTTGCACTGGTAAGACCTTGAGTGGTTTTCTCAAAGTATTGAGTAGGAACCAATCCTTCCTGTATGCAGTTCATGTCTGCACCACTATCAACTAAGGCAATTGCATTAGTGATTGTGTACTCCTGATTAATTACCAAATTGATAGAAACATACCATTTTTGGTAAGTAACTTGATTCAAGAGTTGGAGATAATTAGTACCTTCTGATTGAGGGACTTCATCATTGGATGATGAAGATGGAATTGCAGATTTTGCTTTTAAAAGAGTAATTTCCAAATCCATCTTAGTCTGACTAGATTTTAATTGACGAATTTCTTCTTTTAAAAGATTAATCTCCATTCTGAGATCAGGGAAATTAGCAGGACGAGAATTTTGTCCTTGGTGTTCTAATCTGCTTAGAACTTCTTTCATGCTGTAATGATTCTCTACTCTCAGAAAATCTGGATTATCCGTATCCTCATTAGATCGTGCCAGAGCAGAACCTATTTCAAAGACTTTCATCTTGATTTGAGGATCCTGGATATGATCTATAAGATCCAATAAGGATTGTTGAGTCGAAGTCAAAACATTTAAGCTTAACCCATTCATCTCAACAATTGCCTTATAATAATCATCATGCGAGGGATTACAAGAACATCTAGGGTTTTCAATCTCTGCTTCAGAGGAAGAAGAAGACTGTAATTCCATGACAACATCCCCATAATCACTTGATGATTCTGATTCAGAAGAACTAGTATTAAGTAACAATTTACTTAATTGAAGTCTCAGTTCCTCTTCGATTTGAAGGCTACTGAGTTTCTCCTTAGTTCTGCACTTGTTTGCATAGTGGCCGATACGTCCACATTTAAAACATTTAGCCTCAGCCTTGGGTTTTCCTTTACCCTTTGCTTTAGGAATATATTTCCTTTTAGGCTTAGTAATCTGTTTAGAATTATTCTTTTCCTTTGAATAATTCTTTCTTTTGGAATACTTCCTTTTATAAGGTTTTTCAACCTTATTTCTTTTCCTAGGATTAGGATAAGATAAAGGAGTTTGGTAGGCAAATTGATCACAAAATTCACCTACTTCCTTTCTACCAGTTAATCTTTGTGCTTTTAACTGGGATTGTAACTTCAGATCATTACAGAGAGCTAGACCTTCCTGGATTACAATGTTGACTAATCCACCATAGGTATAGTTTCTGTAAGGGATAGAGATACCATTATTCATATCTCTAA